TGTGACCATTTCACTGCCCTGTCTGCATTGTTGGGTATCATTATTTTAGTGGGAAAAATTGAGCCATTCGAAAATGTCTGTTGATAGATGAATTTGCATGGATTTCTTTGCAGATTGATTGCACCTGGTTTTAGATTTGTCTAGTGGTCCACGCATCATATGCGGGCTTATCGACAGTCCGCATTATCTGTGGGAGGGTTCACCTTTCTGTTTACTTTATCAGGGATTTGTGCGTTAAAGAGAATGACTATGGGCACAGCCAGATGTGGAGAGAGAAACCCACTAATTAGAGTGGAGTTGATTCAGTGTTTGCCCTGTCATTTTTATTCGCTGCAGAGCCCCAGATTGAGCATTGCGATCACTTCTGTAATTTCACGGTTTCCCGTGATACGTACACAGACCAGGTTTCATTTGCTTCTCTTCCTGATGGTTTGTACTTTCTTACCAAAATTTTTTATCTGTTGCGGCTCGGGGATGACTCTTCCCTGGATTGTTTTCTTGCCGCTTCCCGTAATCAGCTGATATTTCTTGTTTGAAAGAGACCCCTGTGCTGTAGCGTGACTGCAGACTGCAGAGGCCCATGGACCTAGCGTGTCCGCGTAGCTGTTGGGCTATTTGAGGAAGAAGGAAAGTTGGGCCATGGTGGCGGCACTTGCAACTATTTTTCTGTCTCGCGACACACACAAATGCACATCTTCTCTGTCTCTCTAAGGAAGGCCAGAAAGTAAATAGATTTTCCAGCAGGTGTGCTCCATTTCTAATTTGCTTAGCAAAGATGCCCTTTTATTCTGGGCATTAAGAGACAAAAATGACAGTGGAGAAATGGGAAAAGCAAGAGCTGGCTGGTTGCATTGATAGAAAAGAAGGCCCTGGAAGGGTTCATAGATGAGTATGCGTGAGCGGCACACCGGACATGTGCAGCAGAGATCTGAGCAGACGCAGGTGGCACAAGGAGCCAGTCACAGAAGACACATTTGCCGCATTTCTCTAGAATGAACTTGACTCAGGACATAGTGGGTGAGGTGCAGAATCTGGATGGAATAACAAGGTGATCGAAGATTAACTTGTGCTTCATGTCAGAATGCAGAGATCCCGATGCCGGTGTGACTTTGTGAACGTTCTCAGTCATGTAACATTTCAAATGGTTTTCGAAGAACAAAAATTTCCTGTAACATTTTACTGCCAGAGAACTGTGTTCTAAAAGCTGAATCTCATCTCCGTGTGACGAGGCCAAATGGATTATTAATGAAATAGCAAATGAAATGTAGTCTCTCAAACGTTTTTAATGATAATAATGACTTAAGACTTGATCAGAAAAATGAAAAGGAAGATTATCCCTATTCTGCAGTTTTGTTTTTTTTTTTTTTAAATAAATGAAACTATCTCGTGGAGAATATGGTCCCCTTTAAAACAGGTTCAGAGTACAGCAGTCAGGAAAAGATTCTGGTTGATTAACATTTTTCTTCAGCTGCTTATCTTGATTTTTCAAGTAGGGGAAAAACATGAGAGTTTTAAGCTTTCATAAAATATTATGGAAATGCCAAAATCAGTAAACATTAAAAAGCCAACTTTAGGTCTAAGTTAGCAAGTGGCAATCAAGGACCTTCCAGAGTAAATCAGGTGAACACACTGAATGATCCGACCTACAGCGGCCTATCCGAGGACGATGTCTGTTCTCCACATCTTTTCAACTGTGGACTTTCTAGGAATATAAATCATTGATTGGCAGAGTAATTGTTTTCCTTTCAGTTACTTCTGAGTTTAAGGTCGGAGGGGAGTGTGGTATGTTTCAGTACTCTTGATGCTGTTTTGTATTTCAAACATAAAAACATACCTATACTTTATATTTTTACAGCAGACTTTATGTTGAGGGAGTGTTGTTCATTCACACAACGCCATTATTGAGTATTGAACATTCTTTAATCGTTTCAAACCATATGGACCCAAACTAAAAGTGAATTGAGCATTTATGTTTATCGAGCAGAGCATGTATAGGAAGATGTTTTTTGTACAATAAATGTGATATAATATCAATATTTGGATGGGAGCATTTGATCTTTATTTCTACCCAATGCATTGGTTTTATTGGAGGTATAATTGTTCTTTGGGAATATTTTAATATAAGAATGTTTCAGTAATAAGCAGGCATCAGCTTCATTTGGATTTTGATGCTGAAGTATATTGAATTTGCATAGTTAACTTAGCTCTTGCCTGTTTCTTAGTTTGCATTCCTTATTATATCTTTGTCATGTTTTAGCAGATTAGCCACTTTATTTTATTGAAATATTCCTTGTCCTTAATGACTAATGAAGCCAGTTTTTGAGGTGGTACAAAGAATTTCCTATCACAAAAAAAAATTTTTTTTTTTTCTTTTTTGAGATAGACTCTCACTTTGTTGCCCTTGGTAGAGTGCTGTGGCATCACAGCCCATAGCAACCTCAAACTCTTGGGCTTAAGCAATTTTCTTGCCTTAGCCTCCTGAGTAGCTGGGACTACACTGCCTGCCACAGCACTGGGCTAGTTTTTAGAGACAGGGTCTTGCTTTTGTTCAGGCTGGTCTCAAACCTGTGAGCTCAGGCAATCTGCCTGCCTGGGCCTAAGTGCTAGGATTATAGGCATGAGCCACTGTGCCTGGCCCCCTATGGCAGAATATTAACATTGGATATTATGACTTTGGCAGTATCACTTTAAGCTAGTTGCCGTGCTTCCTGTCTGTAATCTTAGCACTCCAGGAGGCCAAGGCAGGTGGATCACCTGAGCTTAGGAGTTCGAGACCAGCCTGAGCAGTAGTGAGACCTGGTCTCTACTTAAAGTAAAAATCACTACCTGGACGTGGTGGTGGACACCTGTAGTCCCAGCTACTTGGGAGGCTAAGTCAAGAGAATCATTTGAGCCTAAGACTTTGAGGTTGCTGTGATGAGGCTTCCATCAAACTCTACCCAGAGCACTGAGTAAGGCTCTGTGGGGGGAGGGGGGGGGAGGGGAAGAAAAGAAAAGAAAAGAACTATCACCTTAAAAATCACATGGATGGGCTGGGTGAGGTGGCTCACACCTGGAATCCTGGCACTCTGGTAGGCCAAGGAGAGTGAATTGCCTGAGCTCACAGGTTCCAGACCAGCCTGAGCATGAGTGAGACCCTGTCTCTAAAATTAGCTGGGCATTGTAGCAGATACCTATAGTCTCAGCTACTCGAGAGGCTGAGACAAGAGAATCACTTGAGCCCAAGAGTTTAAGGTTGATGCCACGGCACTCTACTGAGGGCAATAAAGTAAGACTGTCTCAAAAAAAAAAAAAAAAGAAATCACACAGATGGATTTGAAGAATAAAAAACAGCTTTTTGCTTGTATTGTGATGTTCTAAAAAGAATGCTTACTGATAAATACTACACTTCCAAAAATTGAGACAGCTAAGATGACATGCTAAATCCCCAGGTTCCTTTTTACATTTGTTTTATTATTATCATGTTAATTTTAGTTCTTATTAGAAAATTTCAAAAACTTGGTAGGATGCAAAGAAAACAATTGAATTCTACCCACTTTCAGGCACTCTGCAGAAGCCCACTTTATTTGTATAATTGGACCTTTTTCAGAAGCACAATTCTTTTTAAAGGCTAGATTACATCCTAGCCTAATGATGTCCCATAATAAGTCTTAACCATTCTTCAACTATCATTTGACAATTTAAGCTCGAATAACTCAGTGGATTCTAGAGAAATACTTAAAATTTAGGACCAGGTGAAGCATGCACTTTGGATTCAGAAAGCCTGTGCCCTTGTCCGCTATGGGGTTGGAAATTTCAGGCTTGAACTGGAGTTCTGGCCTCCGTGGTCTGGAGATGGCCCATGTCGGGGTGGGTGAAGTGGGCCCTGGTGGGATTGCTGAAGAGGAACTCCCAGGGCAGAGCGCGTCCTCTTCCAGGGTGCTGTGTTTCTTAACGCCAGAATATGCCACCTCTGACTTTCCTTAGGTTATCCATTCAGTTTTCATTTCCTCTTCTGTTTTAAGGGAGAGAAAAAAGAATTTGTACATCCTGAATCTGTTTTACATTAAAGCAGTCATTTTCCATACATGGTGACTGCAACTATGAAGCTAAAACTTGATACCCAAGTGACTAGTTCAACAAGATTACTTGGATGCTGTCTTTGGTACAGCATTGTGGAAAATTTCCTCTGATGTTATCTCATGGATGTTGCAGGTTAAAACTCCTTAGTGGCTCTGAACCTACATTCCTTTTCCTGCTGACCTTGTATCATCAGGATTTGTGGTTGTTGGTGAATAAAAACAATACACCTGGCTCGGCACCTGTGGCTCAAGTGGCTAAGGTGCCAGCCACATACACCTAAGGTAGTGGGTTCGAATCCAGCCCGGGCCTGCCAAAAATAACAATGATGGCTGCAACCAAAAAATAGCTGGACGTTGTGGCGGGCGCCTGTGATCCCAGCTACTTGGGAGGCAGAGGCAGGAGACTCGCTTGAGCCCAGGAGTCGAAGGTTGCTGTGAGCTGTGATGCCATGGCACTCTACCCAGGGGGACAGCTTGAGGCTCTGTCTCAAAAAAAAAAAAAAAAACCACAATACACCCTCAGTGAATATTAAACGAGTCATAACACTGGCAATTCGTAATGAAAAAGAAAAGGAGGCAAATGAATTCCATTGGTTTGTCCGAAGTCCTGTTGTTGCTATTCTTCTCTTGTGGTTTAGAATACGTAAACAGACAGAAAAAGACAGTCCCGAATCTCCAGGCTACACGTCAGCAGTGCCTTCACAACATCTTTCCCTGTATTTGTCAAATCTGGTGGAGGCTTGTTTCCATATTGAATTAAGTGCCACATAAAAATATTAACAGCTGGTTCCAGGAATCATCTGGAAGGGCTGCTGATGCCCTGTTGTGGAACCTTGCTGGAAAATATTGTGCCTGTTTTGATTAAAGAACTGCTGTCTTCAAAAACAGCCGAGAGAAACATGAGAACATAATGTGCCGTGCAATTTTGTTCCCCATTAGAAACCAGAAGACGAGGATATTGTTCTCACGCCCGACGGCACCAGGGAATTTCTGACATTTGAAGTTCCACTGAACGATTCGGGATCCGCCGGTCTTGGCGTCAGCGTCAAAGGAAACCGGTCCAAAGAGAACCACGCGGATTTGGGAATCTTCGTCAAGTCCATTATCAACGGAGGAGCGGCGTCTAAAGTAAGTAGACGACAACTGAAGCAGGCTGCGCTCATCCACAAAAATGTGCCATTTCAGGGCGGCACCTGCGGCTCAAGGAGTAGGGCGCTGGCCCCATATACCGGTTCAAACCCGGCCCTGGCCAAAAACTGCAAAAAAAAAATGTGCCATTTCAACCCTATGCCTATTCTGGACACAGTTAACTTAACACAGTTACCTGACATTTACTGGTTTCTTCCCAACATTTGGGTAAGATCGAATAACTCGGAGAAATCTCAGCGATGCATCATTTGCGAACGCAGTCGCTGACTTCAACTCTTATATTTCTTTAATCTCACGGAACCCACAACCCATAGTCACGCTAGCTAAGTGACGATAATCTATGCCAAGACTCCACGGAGGTCCGCGCACAGAACTGGCATGTAGAGAACGCTCCTCTTTTCCCCTCCCCTCCCCCAGCGTGGGTCACTTACTCCATTTCTCTGCCTGGGTAGAATTTCCTGGCCGTCTGTTCAGGGAGCGCGTCTCTGCCCCTGTCTAATAGCCTTGAGCTTTCGCCTGTCTCGGGTTGTAAATAACCTCTCTGGGTGTTTCTGGAAGCAAGAAAGTAATCACTTTGTGTCCCTTGCATTAGTATGCTATTTTGGTAAACAGATTATGATAATGACTTGATTTACAAATGTATAAATGATTGAAATAGACACAGGCTACAATGCCCCGCTTAGGCGGTTATTATGCTACTGCTCAATTGGGTATAATCCATTAGGATTAAAGCTCCCCACTTTTTTTTTCCCCCCGCTTTTTATTTATTTATTTATTTATTTATTTTTAAACTAAAGGGAAAGCAATTTCTTTTATAGAAGACTACTCGACAGCACTTATTTTTCACCTGTTTTCTTCCCAGGATGGAAGGCTGCGGGTGAATGATCAACTGATAGCAGTCAATGGGGAATCCCTGCTGGGTAAGACGAACCAAGATGCCATGGAAACCCTCAGAAGGTCCATGTCCACTGAAGGAAATAAACGAGGAATGATCCAGCTGATTGTTGCGAGGAGAATAAGCAAGAGCAACGAGGTAAAGAAACGAGAACACAAATTTAAAAAGAGCGAAGGCTCTACCGTCTGAAGTGGTAATAAGAGTGAATTTCTGTCCTAACATTGGACCGAGAACGGCAGGTTCCGGGACATTACCCCAAATAACCACAGATGATTTTTCCTTTCTTTGGCTTTATTGTTTAGTCAGCGGATGCTTTTAATTCCAGCATACTCCACCATGGGCACGCTTATTCCTATTGTCAACTCAACATACAACATGAGGGTCTCAAAGGCACCTGGACTTCAGTTCTCTTCTTGAAAACAGGGCCAGGCCTTCCTTTGAAGAGCTGTACCTAGGAGGTGGGAGTCCTAGGAGAAACAATTGCTTGTTCCTTTGTTCAGATGTAGGATGCTGCTTCTAAGGTCCCCAGGAGGGAACAGCCTGGCTTTCTTATGTGTTGGTGTTTCCTTGAGAGCTTACCAATAGTATAAGTTTCCTTCCCTTTCTCCTCCACTGTCGGGCTGAGTCTGCATCCTTTGAGTGCCTGCTCTTTCAGTGATCCGTGTTGCATAATACACTGCTTTTTTGGTAAATGTGTGCTGCAGTGAATTAAAAAAACACAGGCATCCTCTCCTGACGCGTGAGATTATCTATTTTCCCAAATAAGTAAAAAGATATTTTTTGTGTGCTGGAGTCCTTGAAAGTTAAACCTAAGTTGTATACAGATTTGATAGTTAATCTTAGAATCTGAATAAAGCTAAATTTCATAGATTTATCACAAATTGTGTGGCATATAAATTATGCCATATAATTTGTTATATGTTATAATTTGTTATAAATTATATGTATAGAAAATAGGTTAGACCTGACCATTTGTGGAAAAGAGCTGTTTAAAATTCAGAGTTTGTGTTTTTTTCCTGTTTTTATCGAGTCTCAGATCCCCGTATTTTAAAATTAACCTAGATAAAATTACTAGCACGTTGTATAGTTAGAAAATTATATCTAAATTGTTCAAATGTCTTTCTTCGTTGAAAAATCTCCGTTGCAATAAATGTAGAAACAAGCTTTGCAGAGTGTGAAGACCACTCATCTGAACATACTATATGGTCATATATTTTTTTAAAGAAAATGTGCTCTTGACCTCAATGGGTAGTCAGTGTAGAGGTGACCGATTTTGAATGGTTATTGAGCATTGGTTTATTATCTTTATTTGCCAAATGTATAACAAGTTAATAGTAAATAACAAATGAATTTCCACAACATCATGAGGACACTATAGACTTGAACCAGGAAAATCTCATAAAAGAAAAGGTTGGGACATAAAAACACCTACTGATGTAAGATAAATATAAAAGCTGATCTGTTAGAGTAGGTATTGCATTGATATTATTGAATAATAGCTTTTACTCATTGCCAAATCATTAACGAATCTATTAATGTTAGTCCCACAAAGGACTCCGTGAGAAATTCTCAGTGGTTAAGTTTACAAGGCACATTATTCTTCATTAAGTCTTTTGTTTTGGCTAACGGAATAGTTTCACATTCCACAGGACAGTATTCGTCCCACCTTGAGCACCCATTATTTAAATCAGAAAATGTGTTGGATCCTGGGGAGATATATTACCTTCTCTCATGGAACTTATATTATCTTGGTGGCTTTAAAAGTAAACTAAAATTTTGTACCACCTTCTCAAACTTTTCCGTGCAGAAAACATTGAATGCTAGAGGGGGACTTGAAACGTCAGAAATGAACTGAAGAGCCCCATTCTTCCATCTGATTCACATTATTCCCTATCGTTCCCCAAATAGTCATAAAGCAAACCTGCACCAGCCTGAAAATGTTTTGATAAAGGCATCGATTGTATCCCCCACTGCCCTGTAAGAAAAATGTGAAACGAGAATCCCTCAGAAACGTCTCTGTCTCTCTCACTCCGGCATCTGAGTTTGTGTGAATGAAATTGATTTAAGCAAGGAAACAGCTGTAATAGACAGTAATAGACTTTAATATTCAATATTCCTTCTGGTATCATCTTCCTACATTGCAGGTTATTACTATTTCTTAGGACAGAATAAGCTTATGAAGCAATTACATCAAAAAAATCTCATCCTAAGTGCTGTGCTATCTTTGTAATACTAGCGCGAAGCCTTTTGTACTAACAGGGTTTAACTAGGGTTACGTGAAGACTGAAGATCTCAATCCAGCTTCCCACTAGGCAGAGCATATGATTTTTGCGACGGTTGTACTTCTGTATTATCACCTTTGCAGAACCCCCCGCCCCCCCGGATCCCTGGGAGGGGAGTGCGTCAGTTGTGTTAGTGTAAATATTGATAGAAGCACAGGGCTTTTGCTCTCCTAAAGGAACCGTAAGGCAAAATAACGTGCCATGTTCTCTTCCTCCCAGTCTGTTAGCCGCCGCTCGTAGTCCAGCGTTTGCTATTAGGACAAACCTGTATTTTACCATCTCGTCTTTACACCAAGGGTTTGCATGTGTAGTTTCCAGCCAGAGAGGCTGCAGGTGTATACAAGCAAATCTTTTGTACTTGGTGACATTTTTCCTTCCCTCACATAAGGAAGGGTTGCGATCCCATCTTACTGTGTTTTCTTTGAAGTTATTTGTCACTTCCCCTGCCTCGGTGTCATCTTAAAATCCCATATGTTTGTCCAGACACAGCACGTTGGAGCCGTTTTCTGGAAGTGTTTCCCAGTCTGTCTTGCTTGATCTTTCTGGAATCCTTGGGCACCACCCCATCTCCTTGCGTCTCCTTCTCTGCTCTGTTTTTCCGCAGACTCTGCCTCTTTGCTGTCCTCTGGGGGCTCCTTGTTTTTTGCCTGTTCTTTTATTGTCCACGTTTCTTGCTCTTCTTGGTCTGTTTCTTCGCACTCTGCTACCTGTTCTCTAGCTGATCTTCACCCCCTGGTCGTCTGTAACCTCCTGTCTTGGGATGGATCCTGTCCTCCTGTTTCTAGCTCTGATCCCCACTCAAGTACCAGAGCCTCTGTCTAAATGCCCTGGGAGATAGTCACTGGAATGTCTCCTGGGCCTCTGATCCACAAGGCATCATGCTCCTTCAGATCTGGAGTCCCCTTGACTTCTCAAATGTCTGTAGCTTCTACCTCTAGCTTCTCTCTCCACTCAGCCCACCCTTCGCCCTCTCCACTGCCCCTGCCCCTGCCCCAGTTCAGACCCCTTCCGCTCACCAGGCTCATTGCTGCAGCTCCCAAAGGGATCTCGCTTTCTCCCTCGGTTTTATTTTCTCCCCTGCAGTCAGGGAGACTTTCTGCAAAACAAATTGATCATGTCACTCCCTGCTGAAATCCCTGCAGGAGCTTTCCGTGTCTCCAGGATGGATGCCCGGCTCCATCATGTGGTCCACTGGGACCTGCCTGATCAGCATCTGTGCCCTCCAGGCCCTCCCTGTGCAGTTTCCACTCCAGCTTTAGCTTGTAATTTCTCTGATGTGTGATGTACCTCTAGGCCTTCCACTTGAGTTTATTCTGCCTCTTGTCCTAGCAAAGACATTTCTGCCTTCGGTCTCTAAAGTGTTTTCGTAGCCCGGCCTGCTTACCTCCTTCCAGTAACTATCACACAATCATGATTTCCTTTTTGGCTTGCTTTCTCTGGAATTGTAAAGCCTAATATTCCCATGTTCCTGTCCATCCATCGCTGCTGTCCAGCTCAGGGCCTGACAGTCAGCATGGGCTGAACAATGAGGGAACAGGCCTGGAGAGTCTGGCATTTTTCCAAAAAAAAAAAAAAGAGAACTTGGTGTTAGTCACTGAAATTTCAAAATAAACCTTAGAATAAAAGTAAGAAGACAAACTTTGGGGCAGAGTTTCCAGATTTCGTTGGGTTTTCGTCTATCTAATGCTCTTAAGTACATTTAAAATGTTTCAGAAGCAGTTATTTATTTATTTCTTTATTTTGAGACTCACTATGTCTCCCTGGGTAGAGTGCTGAGGCATCACAGCTCACAGCAATCTCAAACTCTTGGGCTCACGTGATTCTCTTGCCCCCCAAGTAGCTGGGACTACAGGTGCCTACCTATTTTTCTGTTGCAGTTGTTATTGTTTAGCTGGCCCAGGTTGGGTTTGAACCCTCCAGCCTTGGTGTATGGGACTAGTGCTGTAACTACTGTGCTAAGGGCACTGAGCACCTTTTTTTTTTCTTTTTAAAGAAACAGAAATAGTTTCCCCATTTTTTTTTTTAATGGTCCTAAAGGGTGGTTTAGCTTTTTTAGAGAAAAACTGTCAAGTCCTGTTATTCTTTTTCATTGTTTCAGTATTGAAATACACTGAGCAAGAAGGGAAAACTTGGCATCACTTACCCCCAGGACACGTTTGTTGAGGACTTGGGAGGAGAGGAGTGGGCCCGTAACTCCTGGCATCCTTACTTGGGTGTCAAAAATAACCCGTGTATGAGAATTATGCTGATTTAGACGGAAGGGAATTAATATTTGTCGAAATGACTGTAATTTAACATCGCATCCAGACATTTCACTATATCCGCATTAGATGTGATTTTCTCTCAAGCCTTTTCTTGGTACCAGGTGAGCTTTTGTCTTAGACCCCATATTGAGGGATTTAGTCATCAAGGACTCTCTTTCAAATGAATTCTTTCTGTAGGCTTAATCCTCTTAGAATTTGAAAGCTCTATCAGAATAAGAAGGGGGCCTAAGGTATCATTTGTGATTCTGTTCATTTTCTGTATCAGGAAACAAGTGCAGGAAGGTCAGATGGTCGGCTTCCTGGCTGGAAGGCCAAGGTAGCCCCAGAGCAATTCAGAGCCTGAGTGTCCATCCCTCTCACACCAAGTGCAGGCATCTAATTGACTGTGATCTGGTGGTCCGGGCAGTTTCTGTCCCGTCTGCGAAGTAAGTAGTGTGGGATCAGTGCCCAGGCTGTAGAATCAGAGGGACTCTGGATCTACCCCCGAATAATGGGACAAGTTCCCCTCCCCTCCCTGCTTCCTGCTGTCGCCTTCATGGGCATGACGAGGAAAATACCTGTGGTCTTGCGGGAAAAGAGAACGTGTCCCTGTACCTGAGTCTTCCTCCAGGCCCCTCTTTTCATCGGTGGCTTTACATTTAACTGCCCTTTGGCTGTTAGTATTGTCTACCATGTCTAATTGTAATCTCAGCTAATTGCCTTTTAATTTCTACGTCTTGCTCTGCCCTCTGTTTTAGAGGCCTACTTCCATATGACCTACTATGTCATTTTAAGGAAATTGTGAGTCACTCGCTTTTCTTAGGAATGAATTTATTCACCTAATTATTCCGCCAGTGGCTGCTCTATGCCAGACATTGGGGATAAAATAGAGTAGGCTCATAAAGACTGAAATAGTGAATAATAAGGTCTTGCCAATTACTAACCAAGATTTAGGCTTAGGTTTCCTGAGGGAGGTTGATCCACACCTATGCCAGCTTTTCAAGTTTACAGTAGAGATGGTGGGGCTATATTTTCTTCAGGTGAAAGACGCCATTCAACTCACTAATGCACATTTACAACAGAACGAGATTTTACTAAAGCCCACAGAAATCGTGTTGGTCTTTCAAAAGAAGCTAAGGTTTTGACGTTTCCTAAAAAAAAGAAAGAATATGCCAACTATATAATGAAAAGCATATTTATTGGACACTATCCAGCTTTTTGTTATTAAAGAGCATTTGTGATTTTATGATTATGAAAGCGATATATGATCATTTGAGCATATTTTTTTAAAACATGCTATGTTTTTAGACATTGAGATGAGTCTTGATTTTTATACCTATGTAAAGAAAGTTATGATAAATACTGATTCACTTGAATCTTTATTATTCACTTTGCTTATTATCTCCTTGGCCTGGAGACCACGAAGTGAAATAAATGCCTTGTGAAAAAGTTAAAAAAGAAATGTTGGGGTTTTTTTTTTTGTTGTTTGTTTGTTTTTAAGAAAGAGCATCGCACAGTTGCTCAGGCTAGTCTCCAACTCCTGGCCTCAAGCGATCCTCTTACCTCAGCCTCCCAAAGTGCTAGGATTATAGGCGTGAGCCCTCACAGGCAGTCTAAAAAATATCTTTCTTTTTTGTGAGATAGGAGCCTCAAGCTGTCCCCCTGGGTAGAGTGCTGTGGCATCACAGCTCACAGCAACCTCCAACTCCTGGGCTCAAGCAAGTCTCCTGCTTCATCCTCCCGAGTAGCTGGTACCACAGGCACCTGCCACAATACCTGGCTATTTTTTGGTTGCAGCTGTCATTGTTGTTTGACAGGCCTGGGCTGGATTCAAACCTGCCACCTTGGATGTACGTGGTGGACGCCTTAGACGTTTAAGCCACAGGTGCTGAGCCAAATAAGATATCTTTTGACCTGTGATAAAACACTTCTGTGTTTTTCTTTTCTTTTTTTTTTTATTTTGAGACAGAGTCTTATTATGTTGCCCTCTGTAGAATGCTATGGCGTCACAGCTCACAGCAACCTCAAACTCTTGGGCTTAAGCTATTCTCTTACCTCAGCCTCCCAAGTAGCTGGGACTACAGGTGCTGCCCCAACACCTAGCTGTTTTTTGGTTGTAGTTGTCATTGTTGGTTAGCAGGCCCAGGCCAGGCTAAAACCCTCCAGCTTTGGTATACGTGGCCGACACCCTACTCACTGAGCTATGGGCGCCGAGCCTGCATTTCTAAATTACTTCAGCAAAAGACTAAATCCCTTCACCCTCTTATCAGGTGGATTGTCTTGCTGCATCCTAGATTCTGTAACAGGTAGTAAAGTTCTCCTTGGGATGGAACCCAGGGTTTGATCAACCTCTGTTACTTGAGATTGAATTAAGTTGGATCTATGAACATTTTTTGCAAGTTAAACAACAAATGAAAATTGCTGTTCTATCTACTTTGGTTTCCTCTTCTAACTAAGGTCAATTACAATAAGATGTTAATATATAAGCAGCCCCCAAGGGCGTGGGAGGGAGCAGTCTGGAGGGCAGGGGCCAGCAGCTCTCCCAGGGCCACAGGCCCGCCTGTCCTCCTGTCCTGGTAACCCACCCGCAGACACATTTCACTTTCCTGAGTGCAGATTCTTGCCACAAAAAAATTCATCAAAAGATTTAAAACAAAACTGTGTATCCCAATCAGTTTTTTAAAGGAAATTAAAAGGCATTGTATCTTCTGTTAAATATTTATGTAGTAGACTATTGATGTCTTCATTTAAATCTGTCTTTTGAGATGCAAATGCGCCGTGAACGGGAGGTAGGGGAGGTGTGGAATCTTTCCCATGAAAAGGTTCAAGGGCTTCAGAGGTTTTTTTTTCCGGAACAGACATCTTATTGTTTCTCTCTAGAAAGCCTGCACGTACTGTTTTCTTCGTGGAATTTTTATTTGACTGTATAACATTTTAAAATAGCCTTTTGGGATATTTCAGGATTTCTCGTGAAGCAGCTTTATAAAGGTTTTATCATCTAGGAAATTGCAGCATTATAGAGTTCAATTAAATTGTATTTTTCAAGCAGACTTGAGGATATGTCGTCTGTTTTCTGATAAATTATTGTAGAGCCAGCAGGACTTGTTTATAAAAACTTGTATAGCAAGTCTGTATGTATGGATACTTTGATACAGAAAACATAAAGAACATTCTTGCTCCTGAAGGCATACGATATTACTTTTATTTGTTTTTTTTTTTTTTTTTTTTACCTCCCCAGAGTATCTTGAAATTTAGGCATGGTATTTTTTTCAGAAACTATTCTTTTATTCCTTTACATCAGAGACCTTGACTATTTAATTTACTTTTCAGTAAAGCTGTCAGTTGTAATCTGCCATTTTAAAAAAACCCTCATAAAACAAATCCTCATTTCACAATTTAGACCTTATTGAGTCTAATTCACCAGCCCTGCGAGTTTATTATTCTCCTGCAGCTTGACGTGCCTCCAATTGTAATTGTGTTGACCCTTCAATGCGTTAAATCTCCCCAGTGCTTATCAAACTGGGAGAGATAAGTCTACAATTCGGAACCTCATTAAATATCTCATTTATATTAAACAGATGATGGCTTCGAACAGAAATAATCATTTGCTCAGATGGAGGAACCACGACAGTTGTGGTTTCATGTTTAGAACAAGCAGTCTTCTCTCATATGCTGTGCTGTGCCCCAGCCTGCTCCCCCGGTGGCCCTCCCTATCTCTGGGCCGGCACCAAAGCGTCATCAGAGATTAGTCCACGTGGTGAGGGTGGCAGTTAAGCCTTCTTCTCTTCCCCTTGAAGCAGATTTATTTCGTGGCTTTACTAATGCAAATTTCATATCCATATTGCTTTTTATGACAAATGTGGCTCCTAAGACTTGGCCAGCTGTTCTAAGGGAACGCCACACACCATTTTAGGTCATAGAAGTCCAAGTCCACCAGTGGTGTTTGCTTATTTAGCAGATTTGGTATGTTTGGGAAATCTGGCGTCTGTGTGTGTTCTGTTCCCTTCTTATTGTTCTGTATACTCTTAGAGTGCTTTTCCTCATTGTTCATCTCTCATACTTAAAGATTGTAGCAATCTTTTAATTCCCAGCAGAAGAAATTTAAATTCAGTATATGGTTGAAGGCACCTGAGCTGACACATGGAGTCTTTACATCCTATAGAGTGGAAAATAATTCCATCAGCACACATGCAAATGCGAACTAACGATTAGATGTCTTTACGTCCTAGAAGAGTGCAAAGGATGGCTAAATTCCAGCTTCCATTCTGATTGCCTTCTACAGAGCAGTGTCTGTTAAATAATTTGGGATTAAGCCGTTGCTTAAATTGACTTCAACAGACACTCACAGTCAAATTGAAAAAGTAAAAGGCAACAAGAGCAGATTTTTTTTTTTTTAAAGAATGCTTTTAATATACATATTTTTCCTCTAGTGGTTGAAATGTGACAGCACTTCATGGGAGGCCCAGTATAATATGGCATAGAAAGTTGGTCATTAGGCAGAGCTGTCACCACAAATTATTTTGGTACGGGGTGAAAAGTTCTACATCATTTGGCACCCAGTTGGATACAGGCCTTGGGCAAGTTGTTATAATTCCCCCATGCTGCTAATGGGCTTCCAAGTACTGATTTTCCTTTACCTCGCCCTTTCTCTATAGCCGAAGTCACCTGGGAGCCCCCCTGGACCTGAGCTGCCCATTGAAACAGTGTTGGATGACCGGGAACGAAGAATTTCCCATTCCCTGTACAGTGGGATTGAGGGGCTCGATGAATCGCCCACCCGCAATGCCGCCCTCAGTAGGATAATGGGTGAGTCAGGTAAAACTGTTCATCACGTCTTCCCTGAATGCTTTCTCTGGTTTCTCGAGAGGTTATGAATGTAATGTCAATGTAGAAGAGGTCTATGTTTTCCAGAGGAAAGAAAGAACAGGTTCTTACAATTATTCAGGAAGTGTGGATGGGAAGTGAGGAAATCAGTCCATTGATTGAGTTAAGTGGTTTTGTGATCCTGTAACATGTGGACAGAACAAAAAAGTAGGGTCCTAGAGAAATGATTCCCAGTGATCAAGGTATCTGTAGCTGGTTTGTGATAATAAATGAAGCTGTGCTTTTTTTTTATCAAAAAAATAATCAAAATTCATGGCAAGAGGGATTCAATTATGTATCATTCACAAGTTGCACTTCTTGAAGCAAGAGGAAGAATATATATATTCATAACGTGGGCACCCATGTATGAAATAGTCACAATTGTTTGGTTTGTACTTCATGGGGTGTTACTGAGTTTTAAGCGTATCTCTGCTTTTTTCAAAGCCTTTGTTTTAAAATCCTGACACTAGCCTAACGCATCCTTCATTGGGATCCAATCCCATACTGTCTGCATGGCCTCCAGTGGGTACTGAGGTTATTAGCCCTTGCTCCGCAGCGACTCAGCTTCCTACTAACAGCCCCGGTTCGTAAAGACTCGCTTTGCCACTGGAGTGGTCGAATTTACTGAGTTGCTCATCTTGGGATGATCTTGTGAGAGTTTCCAAATTTAAAACCTCAAGAAGCCGTTTTGATTAAAATCAGACCCAACATAGCGCTCTTTTATTGCTGGCCCCTTTTGCAAGGCTCTCCCGAAAAGTTAAAACCCCAAATTCCCCTCCGTTTTGGAGTCCATTTAATGTAGATTTAACACAATTCAAGTTTCCACGATCGAGCTTCCTGGAAACGAGAATTAATTTGTATGCATCAGTGGATGTTCACGGACAGCCAGCCCCTGGCGAGACACTGTAAATACGCTTTCACTCTAGATCCAAGCAAAGATGAGTAAGAAGCAATCTCTGCCTGCAAAGAACTTTCTGCTGGGCACGATAGGTGAATACGCACCACGTCTGGTGGAATCTTCTGTTGTTCTTCCTCTGATCCTTCTGGCTTCCCGGTTTGGGAACATGGCCACATTCTCCACTTCTCCTCCTGTGACGTGTAGAACTCAGACGCGCCAAGGCTTTGGTTTTACTTTGTCAACATTTTCCTTTTCACCTGGTTGGCATAAGTAAAAGTCAGGGGAGGATGCGACCCCTGTTGGGTTGGCCACCTGTCAGGTGAAAGGCATTGTACGGAGTTTATCCACTTAATCTTTGCTTTTTACTTACCGGTCTCCTCACTGCTAACGGATTTTTCTGTACCTTCTTGGTTTGGGGTATACAACTTTATCTCTGTCGAGTCCTTTTATTTTTTTTCTTCTTCTTTTTAACTGATGAAATGGCAGACCCCTGGAGAGAGAAAGCGTGTGCATGTGCCCCTAGATCTGTGTGCATACAAAGTGATTCGCTGTAATTTCCCCTTTGTTATAGGAACGTAGGACTTGCCATTCTGAATCAGACCATTGATTGGTCCACCAGTTCCTGTAACCTGCGTCCTGCCTCCAATCCCTGATGCTTCAGAGGAAGGCGAAAAACTAAAACTAAAAAAACAAAAAAATCCCCCAGTTCACCTAGTGACTTTTTGAAATGCTGTATATGTATGTGGGTTGAAGAGTCATTCATTTTCGTCATAGTCTGTTGCCCTGATTTTGTTAGTGTGGCTTCACTCGCCCTCTTCAGTTTGCATTGCCATTGACGTTGTTTCCTCTGCCTTCTGCTAGGTTGGTAATGAACTCATAAAACCCCAGACGCTTCCCTGGGGCAGTCACGTCCCTCCCAGCTCTGCTTTGTGACATTGTGTGCTCTTTCCCTACTTTGGGCTAAAGGGGGTGACAGACTCATTACTGTTTGACGGTGGAGCCCAACTGATGTTGTACAATTTGGATATCTTCTTGACTTTTTTTTTTTTAATTATTATTTTTACATATTGTCCCGGAAACTAGCCCTACATAGTTTTGCCCGGAGAAATGTATGTTCTTAGGATTTATCTTGTGTTTTGCCGATTTGAGAATTCCCCGACTCGGTCTTTATTCCAATAGCGCTGGCCTTAAGAATCGAGTGCTATTGGTAAAGTTAGTTACCACTTAAATTTAGAAATCTGATATGAGACGTACCTGGCGACAGAATGTCAAAACAGAGTACCAAAGATAGGATATTATAGAGCGTTGCGTTTCCATTAGCCTAAGCTGACCACAATAGTATTTATTCATTTGTACGGCACTTAGGTGCATTTAAATTTCTCAGACTAATTCTGTCTCAATACAGTTTGTGCTCCATACATTTAAAATCACTCCTGTGTAGATGCCAGTAGAGGTGGTGGTGTTCACTTCACGCTCTGCTCTGATACAAAGTGAACTTCCACTGAAATTCCAGCTGAGTTCCTTGAGAAATAATTAATTTTATGGGAACAGGGCTAGATTTTCACAGAGGGATAGCTTCTATATAGGACTCGAGACCAAAGAAAGCTTTGAGGCTTTGTGACCCATTTCTATGGGAACACGTCCCAGGAGAAAGGCTTCTAAAAAATATACCAAAAAAGGAAGAGTCCTTGGAGTTGGGAAGATGTCAGATGTCATCAGTCACACTTCCCCACTTACGAGATAAAGGACCTGCATACGCCCCAGGGTCCCATGGTGTTTTTTGTTTTATGTTGTTTTTGGCTAGTTCCTATTTGTAAAAATAACTCTCTCTGGGGAATGCTGAGATCACACAAGAAGGTGCCAGCTGCCTTTGTGGCATCCATTCCTTATTAACGTCAGTTTATAAGTACCCACTGTTTTAAGCAAAGGCATTCAGCAATCTCCAGAACCCATTCTATCTCCGAAAACTCCGTATTCTCATAGATAAAGAAGTTAATCTCGGGTGGCGCCTGTGGCTCAAAGGAGTAGGGCGCCAGCCCCCTATGTCGGAGGTGGCAGGTTCAAACCCAGCCCTGGCCAAAAACTGCAAAAAAAAAAAAAAAAAGTTAATCTTTGCAAATGGCCTTAGAAATTGTGTGCTCCAAACTTCTTATCTCACATTCAGGGCATTATGGAGCAAAGAAATGAGGTAACTCAGGTAAAGCCCCACTGTTTCTGTGTTCCTGAACCCAAATTTGTATGTATGTTTTTCTGAATCATCCTGAGTCTCATGTGACTCACACCCGATCTGTCTCCTTAGCTTTTTTGGTAGGGTCAGCTACGATTGTGACCAAAGGCAAGATTTCTCCAAATGTCATCTGTTTGGACAGTGTTTCTTACTCTACCGAGTTTTTATAAGAATAGTCATGGACATTCATGAAAAATAATCTGTAGGCTCAGCGCCTATAGCTCAACCGGCTAAGGCGCCAGCCACGTACACCTAAGGTGGCGGGTTCGAATCCCCAGCCTGGACCCGCCAAACAACAATGACGGCTGCAACCAAAAAATAGCCGGGCGTTGTGGCGGGCGCCTGTGGTCCCAGCTACTTGGGAGGCGGAGGCAGGAGACTCGCTTGAGCCCAGGAGTTGGAGGTTGCTGTGAGCTGTAATGCCACGGCACTCTGCCCAGGGGGACAGCTTGAGGCTCTGTCTCAAAAAAAAAAAAAAAAAGAAAAATAATCTGTAGTGGGCCTCCATAAGATTCTTCCTTTGAAAAAACCTTAAAAATGGTTTCTAATCGTTGGTCTATCAACAACAACAAGAGGCATAGTTAATTTAACCAACATACCCAGTTCATAAGACACATCCCGCAAGTTGACATTTGCGAGCAGGGAACCTTAAGTCTCCTCTCACTTTTTTAGCTAAAGAAGTTTTCCGTTTAAAGCAAAACTGAAATCCCTTGTATCCATTTTAGAGTTTATCTCAGTAGTTCCTGTATTCGTATAGACGCGGTGGGTTTCAACCGAAATTACGGCTAGCATATTTTGTTAGAATTTTTACATAGAAACCTAGAACATTAATGTTTGTTTTTATTGTGGGTCCTATCACTGGCATGGTTTCCCTCTGGTCTCCTGTATGTGTCACATCTATGTAAATTTACCAATGAATAAATGTCTGGTAAACACTCACTTTGTATCGTATTGTTTCACTGCTCTGCGGAATATTGACCGCTGTACTAATTAGGTCATAGCTGCTAGTTAACTAGTCATGGAAAGTTCATCCATCACAAAAGTAGATGAAAGCCTTTTCAAGTCCCTCTCAGAAGGTATCACACATACCCTATGCCACATAGTAGCAAATACAGTTAGCAAATGGTGGGAATGTGTAGGTGGATTTTGGCAGAATACGTAGGTAGGTAATTTACTTATCTGGTTATCTGAATTACTCTAGTATATTCCTCAAGCCATATCCCAAAACTGTATTCTTGACATACAAATTAAAAATTAGTAATTTGATGGAAAATACCAGTTCACCAGTCTTGTTAAATATCTGCCTTCTCAATCGTGGGCGAGAAAAACATGCTGAATTATTGTCTTCTTAGTAGAGAGATTTCTTGCTGTTTATGTAGAAAATTCAGGATATCTTTTCTTTTTCCCCCTTCAAAATAATTTTAATACAAAGGACGCAAGCATTTCTAAATCAAAAACGTGGTTCATCTGACCCTTCTGGGTGTCATGAGAACATCACTGAATAAAAACTATGACAACAGCCTGATTTCAGATGGAATTAGACTATTTAAAATTGAATTTCCAGGAAAAATAGGCACTGATCTCTAGAAGGAAAGATCACTCCTGACTGAAGCTATGTATTGAGCCAATATGGCTGGTTAACATTTATTAATAGTATAAAGTAACCCAGCGCAGGGCTCTGATAATGTTAGCGGAAACCAAGTTATGTACAGAGTCAGATGGCCAAAGGCACTGCCCAGGCTACACTGAAAGCTGGCTGTCTCCATTCTCTAGATGTGAGGAGCACCCCAACTTCATCCTAGGGGCTCAGGATATCTTAAGGAAGGTTATTTCTACTCAGAATAGTATATGCTGGGAGAAAAGAATTACATCAACCATTCCGCATTCCATATTGCTCATTAGGCCATCTCTCAGAATTTAGTGTTTATTGGTTTATTTATTTACTTATTTTTGAGAGAGTTTCACTTTGTCACCCTTGGTAGATTGCTCTGGCATCATAGCTCACAGCAACCTCGAACTCCTGGGCTTCAGCGATCCTCTTGCCTCAGCCTCCTGAGTAGCTGGGACTGTAGGCACCTGCCACAGCACCTGGCTGTTTTCAGAGTCACGGTCTTGCTTTTGTTCAATCTCAGGCTGGGCTCGAATGCCTGAGCTCAAGCCATCCACCCACCTGAGTGCTAGGACTGCAGGTGTGAGCCACTGTGCCTGGCTCAGAATGTAGCGTTTAAAACCAAGGCCTTTAGTTTTTGTGTTCAAAAATATACGTGCTACAATTCCACTGTGATATTTCCTTCTGATCAATTTGCCTGGAAGGGGACTGGGTATTTAATGTTGTAACAAGCGTCATCAGTGATGAGTTCAGTCAAGGGAAACCCTGGTTTAATAATTCCATATACTTTTGGTGGGCAAGAAATCGTGTGTTGGAAAGGAAACATTTCCTTGGCTACTAGTTCTGGAATGTCCTACTTTATGTATGAATGACAATTTTTGATGAGCAGGTTTCTATACTAATATTCTAAAACTCTGATAGAAGTGAGTGAGTGATTTGAATTCAGGACAGGGAAATGCCTACTTTTTAATTTAATGAATATTTTTATCATGAGCTGCTAGTTTTCACAGGTTGTCAAATAGGTACATTTGATATCAAAGTAGAAAATTTTCCTAATGAAATACTGAAAAGAGGCCAGACACAATGGCTCATGGATTTAATCCTAGGACTCTGAGAGGCTGAGATGGGACAATCTCTTGAGCTGGGGCTGATCTCTTTGAGACCAGCCTAAGCAACAGTGAGACCAAACCTCTATTAAAAATAGAAAAATTAGCTGGCCATTGTGACCAGATGCCTATAGCTACTTGGGAGGCTAAGGCAGGAGGATCACTTTAATCCAGGAGTTTGAGGTTGCTGTGTGCTAGTCTGATGCTACAGCACTCTGGCCTGCCCAACAGAATGAGATTGTCTCAAAAAAAAAAAAAAAAATTGGCTCGGCGCCTATAGCTCAACCGGCTAAGGCGCCAGCCACGTACACCTAAGGTGGCGGGTTCGAATCCCCAGCCCGGACCCGCCAAACAACAATGACGGCTGCAACCAAAAAATAGCCGGGCATTGTGGCGGGTGCCTGTGGTCCCAGCTACTTGGGAGGCTGAGGCAGGAGACTCGCTTGAGCCCAGGAGTTGGAGGTTGCTGTGAGCTGTAATGCCACGGCACTCTGCCCAGGGGGACAGCTTGAGGCTCTGTCTCAAAAAAAAAAAAAAAAAAAAAATTGCTGAAAAGAGGTTTTAGCGAATATGTAGTATTTCTACAATAAGGTAATTGATGCTGAATAACTGAATAATTTCAATTGACAGTTGAAATTTCCAGCAAGCTTGTTTTTGTGGTTTATCCTGAAAACATATGTAGCAACTTTAAATAACTTTTGCTGAAATGTCCAGAAAAATGTTTATTTCTAAGAATTCCTTAAGCTCATATATATCATTCCCAACATTCTTACGAATGTTTACTTTTAAAATGAGATCTAAAACTAATGTTAAAATGTTCATAAACTCCCTATATATTGCCATTTGTGCAATTTTAAGAAATAATTCAGAACAAAGGAAAAGTTCACCCTGGGTTACATGGGGAAATTATCTAGGGAGAGGTCAGCAAGCCTTTTGTCAGGGTAGGAATCTGTACAACGCTCTTGACAGATTTGGAAATTGGACTTAAAAATGAGTTTCCCCGTCACTGGGAACCCAGGTCCGTCATCCATATCCTTCTGGGGCACCATGCACCTTGGAGTTTGTGCTGTCAGGAGGTATCCTGTGGACCAAAGCCTTGGCAATGCATTCTTCAGAGGAAGCCTGGTACAAGATTTGAGGAAGAAGATAAAAGAGCTGTAGGTGATTTTTGGAAAAAGATGACATCCTTTGGACTGCAGCCGTATCTTTAATAATTGAGGACCATTGAAACATCATTTCGTTGCAAGAAGGATTATGAAATGTAAACCCCTGTCATGCTGCTCCACAAACCTGCGCCCATTTTCCTGCAAGAAATTGATCAAGACAGACAGTTTTGGGTCTTCCCAAAGAACACGATATCCTAATTGAATAAATCAAAATCTACAGATTCCTGGGTCATGGCCCAAAATCCCCCAGGTTTTTTTTTTTTTTTTTTTGATTCAAGATCACTGCTGCATCTCCTGGTTCCCAGGACTAGAGTCTGGCTATCCTCATCTTTGAAGCATCATCTGAATGCATCCTGGGCTTTTCTCCATCACATGTTTAATGATGATGTAGCTGATGTTAAAACACTGTCATGTTTTCTTCTAGCAGAAAACATCATATTCCTCATCTTAAAAACTCAGTTCTGATGTTAGTGTTAAGATAATCAGCATCCCCAGGGAGCCAGGAAATCACAACACACGTCAATGGCGTTCTCAGCATTGCTGGCACCACCTTCCCATCAGCACTGCTCACGTGATGCACTCCTGTGTCTCACTCTTCCACTAGGGTGTGGGCTCTTTAAGGACAGAGATCATGTCTTACAGTACCTGGTATGTGTAGTAGCCCCATGAATGGATGAATGAAGGAGTGAGTGAATGAATGATGGCCGTTAATAGGGCTTCCTTCTAAATTTCTCGATAAAAATTTTCAAAGGATGTTTACAACTTCGATTCATATCGGAAGAGATTTTGGACACTGTCTTTGGCTTTAGGACACTTAAAATCAGAACCCTTGTGAACAGTGCCCCAAGCTATATAACTGTAGCATCCCAGGTAGTAATTAATAGACTCGGGGTCACTGTGGGATAGTCAGTTATGAAAAAAATAAATGCACTAAATTCCATTTTGTTCTCCCAGGTTGAGCAGATGGGTAGAAGTTTAGACCTTTCATAGTGAAGCATTCAAATGAATAGACGTAACCCTTAGATCCACGTCTAGCATTTGTCTCTCTCTCTTTTCACCGGACAGGTAAATACCAGCTGTCCCCCACAGTGAACATGCCCCAGGATGATACTGTCATCATAGAAGATGACAGGTTGCCCGTGCTTCCTCCACACCTCTCTGACCAATCCTCTTCCAGCTCCCACGACGATGTGGGGTTTGTGACGGCGGATGCTGGAGCGTGGGCCAAGGTTGCCATCAGTGACTCAGCCGACTGGTAAGCTCGTAGTCCGAGGCTGGAAATCACGAGTTAATTACAATCACATTTTATCTTACATTTAAACAGCTTATGACTGGGCTCAGTTAATTGACTTTTTAATAGAAATGTTCTACTTTTTTTTTTTTTTAATATACTTATCACTTTTTGACACCCAACCCTACCAATGTACTTGATAGTTTTAACCTTCAAGGGCTGTAGTCAACAACGACAAAACTACCCCAGCCCCCCGAATCCTGACTCATTTGTTCTGAAGTATCACTATTTTTTATTTATTTTAGATCTGTGTTATTTTGATGAATTGTGTTTTCTCTTAAACAAGAACAATTCTGAACGGATAATCGTTGATGTGCTTCTGAGAGTGGGGAGAGGCCTAGTTTAAAGATTTCTTTTTAATGTGCAGTAACTCTACTGTTGAAAATGCTTTGTAATTACTTCTGACATGGTGACTTTGGGGGCAGTCTCCTGTTTTCTTTTGTTTTGTTTTCCCCCTCCTGTGTCTTTCAAAATACAAGAAAGCATCTGATATTAGGGAGCCAGTGTGTGGCTTGGGAACGTGTCTGCGCCTTCATCTGTGTGGCTCGTAATTATGTAGATCAGTAAGGGACAGGAGGGCTCCTCTAAGGGGGGACCTCATAAGGTTGTCGCGATAATTAACACAAACCGGGTGAAGTATCGGACCAGGATTTTCTTATTGCCCTTTCTCTGGGGGCTCATATGAACACATCAGCAAAGTTATATTTAAATGTTATGGCGGCGTTCCTTTGCCACTTAACCATTTTCTGCTCTCCACTCTTGCTCTGACTGTGTCAACATTAAACAAGAGATAGGAGGTATCCAGGGGACTGGCATTTATGCACTAACATTTTAGTGATGATCTTAGCAAGAGCGTACCCCTCCTCTGTCCTCTCCCCCTGCGCCTCATGCCAACGCACAGAAAACACCGTTTATCTGTAAATTCTGCAGATGTCACTTGGAAGAATCTCACCTGATCTTTGGGCCCTGGAAAAGCTCCTCTCTAGCTTTTCATTTTCTTTCCCTTCTAATTCTCTTTTTGAAAACACAGGATTTAGAAGATAGAGCCACACTCTGGCTTGCATGATAATGGCCTATCTTTGAATGAGGTTTTTTTTTTTTTGGTTAAACAGAGAGGGGAAGACTACAATATAAATTAAAAACCCATTTGAAATCTGCAGACGCTGTTACATTGTCGCAGTTTCTCTCTCTTTCTGAAAGAGAAAGCAGCCGCAGAGAAAGTAAAGATTAGATAATAGACAGTGTTCATTTGAGGGACAAAAGCCCGGGCACCTCCACCGTGATGAGGAATTGTAGAGCTGACCAGAGGCACAGACCTGTCTGGGGCCTTCCGAAGCACGGGATTGGTGATAATAAATAAACTCACTAGCCGGGGTGGAGTTGGCGCTGATTTCCCTAAGGGGGATTTGCAAAAAACGGTGAGGACTTGTATGATTTTGCCGTGGTGAGCGCGGGGCAAAGAGAAGAATATGAATGAAGGGTTATCCAAACAAGGGTGACAGCTGTTCTGAATCACAGCCGAAAACGTAAGCTTTCCCAGCCCGACCATATCTCCCTAATCCTTGATGAAAATGTTATGAAAACAAAAGAGCAATAAGACGGGATTAATAACTGGAATTTTAATAACATTAGGGGTCAGGACATGGTTACATTCTTTAAAGAATCAGCTGTCAGGCCTGCAGTCCAACTTGCTCAATATTCGAGTGTACTGTTTATTGTGTCCGAAATTAGTTGAATGGGCGTATTGATCGGGCAGAATTAATTATGTCATGGTTTAGAGATGTTTAGTTATTTTAAGACTCCTATTAACTCCCAAACTCATTTGAATGTTTACAGTTGGTTGCACAATTGTGAGAAGCTAAATATGTCAGCTGGCTAAACTTATTTGTCAACTGACAGAATATACTTTTTTCAACCCATTAATTGACTGAGGGGACGTGAACAATGTATTTAAGAGGATAAAAGGTATCACGGCAAGTTCTAATCTTAACAGCAGCATAGTTTCAGGAGGATTTTAAAATATATGCCGACACACGGTTTTCAAGACAACGTTGGCAGCAATAGTTTGTATTTCTTTGAAAAACTTTTTACTGTTCATTTCTATTAAAAATGTACGTCACATTCCTTCCAGCCACAAGTTTGATGCATTATTGGGGTTGAGGATTTAATGTATTCCATGGGATATTAAAAAAAAAGAAAAGAGGCATAGAGCAGAATGATTGGACAGACACATTTTCCATACATGAAGGAATTACTCTTATTGGGAATATATTTTTAGAGTTTGCTGCTGCAAAATAGGGTCGTAGTTCTCACTATAGAATGGGGTTTTTTGGGCCAGGGTTGGGTTTGAACCCGCCACCTCCGGTATATGGGGCCAGCACCCTACTCCTTTGAGCCACAGGCGCCGCCCCAGAATGGATTTTAATTTTTTGCCTTTAGAACTGTTTCTTGCCAGGTATATTTGCACTCTGGTAATTAATAAGCCATATATACCCAAGCACAGTAGTATTTGAAGAGACATCTGAGGCTTCCAGGCAAACATCACTGTGCTTCTTTGTGGAGTATCAGATTTATTCAAAGTTTCAAGGAACAAATATGACATTTTAAAAATGAGAAGAGTAGAATGCAAACAAAATAACATTTATTAAGATAGAACATGATGTTTTATAAAAATATAAAACAAAATCGTTCCTACCTTGGCTAGTTCCTGAAGGGTATGTCTTCTTTTTTCTCTGTCCTTGAGCCAAGTCTAGGCCAGCAAGGTACCCAAGGGGCAAAACTTAAGGAAGAGCTCAGCTCTCAGGGGTTTGTCTTTGCGTGACCTTGAGAGTAAATGACTCCTTAAATTCTGAGCCCTAGAGGCCTGCCTCGCCTCACCCTTGGGGCCCTGCTTTGTACTTGGTGGCAACGATTTAAGAGGATTGTCCAATTCCTTTAGGTGGCGTTTGGGGGCCCTGGATTTCTACCACTCGACTGTGTATTACTCTGATAATTTGTGACAGTCTTCTTTGTATGATGTCTTATTGTGTTCAGTGGCTTGTAATTTACAAAGGGCTTTTCCCTTAAGAATCCTCTCCTTCCCTCTCTGGTGAGATGGGTGAGGCAACTATTCTACTGAGCTTATTAATCATGACAACATGGGCTCAAAACATTTCAGGTTACCCTACCCAATGGCAGAGGTTTTTGGGTTTTTTTTTTTTTCTCTTGGCATTTTGCTTGGTTCTTCTTAAATAGCCAACTGTCATTTCAAGCATGGTTGGCATGGCAGCCGGATTTCTGATGTGCATGCAAACCAGATCACTGTCCTTTTACCAACATGAATGGAAATTCTGATAAGGCTACAACATGTTAGAGAAGCTTGCTTCCATCAGAACATAAAAGTGGCTGTCATAAATTCAGCAGACAGTGGAGGTGACCTCCTGGCATTCTCAAAACGGTAAGCGAGCTTCAGAGGGGCATCCTCCTGCCTGGCTGGCTCTGGAATCCGGGCTCACCCCCGGAATCCAGGAGAGCTAAGGGACTTCTTTACTTCTCCCGTGCCCAGCACAGAGAAAGCCATTTATTTTCATAGCATGAACTGTGCTTTGAACACCTGATAGATTTTTACCCATAGGAGGGATTCTGTGTCCTCACCATTGGAAAGATGCTTCAGCACACACACATCGTGTTGCCAGTGACACGCCATATGCTTCCTTTACTGTCTCTGCTTGAGCCACTGTGCTGGTTTCACCCGAATCAAATGTCATCTAATCTTAGCTGTGCCTTTCCTGACTCACCCATGTACTGCTCCTTCTCTCATTCGGGCATCCTCAGCATCTGTTTCCTGCTTCTGCTTTAGGATTTTTCTCCTACGAGCGCGTAGAGAACAGCGATCTCGTCTTATTATTTTGACCTGGGTCCCCAGCTCAGTGTCTTAATCAGGGTAGATTCTGATCAATCCTTATTGAACTGATTTCAGGTGATTAGCTGTATCAGAGAAAACGCATAATAAAGGGAAGAGAGAAGGACCAGAACCCATCTTTTTTGAAACTTACAGGGAACTGCAATGTATGTGGTCACTCGTTTGCCCCCAGTATTTGCGTGTAATACACATACATGACGGGTTTCTTCGATATTCTTATATCTGACAAATATCAGTCTCATTTTTGTAATCCCTGAGAAATGATGTATCAATTCAATACAGTGAAGAGATTCACAGGACAATAGAGAGCAAATTCACCTAGAGAAAGAGTTAATCTAAATATGAAATTAATTTTGTTTTTCCCCATCCCCTTCTATACGGCCATAGTTTTATTTTTCATGGGCTCTGTTTGTGTTATTTAGTTTACATTTTTTTTGAGGACTGCACTTGTACACACACTGAGGTGAACTTTCCTAAACCGGTCTCCTATTTTTAATAAATATTTATATGTTTCTCTTTCTCTTCCCCCCAGCTCTTTGAGTCCAGACGTCGATCCAGTTCTTGCTTTTCAACGAGAGGGATTTGGACGCCAGAGTATGTCAGAAAAACGCACAAAGCAATTTTCAGATGCCAGTCAATTGGATTTCGTTAAAACACGAAAATCAAAAAGCATGGATTTAGGTAGTGAGTACAATCTCCATGAATCTTTATCTAAATAAGGTTTAAATGCTTTCAGGAGAAAATTGATAGTCCCGAACACATGTCTGTTTACTCTGAGCAATGGAGAAAAAAAAATAAATGTGAAATGTGACGATTTGGCAAAAATTAGTTTTCCTCTGAGTTGGAGATAACCATATTCCTCATCCGTGGCATGTTTATATAATATGCAATATGTTAATATATATGTTTTCTTATGGGAGAGGAAACAAACACTTGGGCATATCATGCTATATATTCATGGATCTGTATTTTTTTTTTAAAAAAAATGAAATGTTTTCTCACTTTGGCTATTTTAAACCAATTGCATAAAAATCACATTTGGTCAGTTGTGGGATTTTTGAACTAAAGGAGCAAATTTTGGAGAGAAACCATTATCTCAATCCATGTCTGGAATTTGGTGACTTCACGATCTCTTCCTTTCATTGCTATCCTTGAAGGCTTATTTAATAGAAACTCTGATGTCTTGATAACTCAGGCACTTAACCGAAGCAATAATTTGACAGAATATTTATCGTAGAGAATATTTGAGAGCACATGAGAGAAGGAACATAATCGTAGTGGTTCAGTCAAACACCAATCAGGTAGTACCTCTTTCAACCCAAATCCATTAAGGAAAAAAATTTAAATAATTATAGCTGTAAAACCGAATGACTCGAAACCTTTGTTAATAATCAACTGTAACTTGTGCTGTCCTCCGGTGGCTGTTTGTAGTTCAAGACTAAAAGCATTAATTTATATGCATAAAAGAAAAATTTGGTGATGCGTTGACTTGGCTAATGATGATACGCTAACATATAAATAACACACACGTCTGTAAAATGAAATGACTGGCATATTGCATGGAGACACTGCTTTTTATCCCCCCTCCTCCCCCCCTTTTTTTTTTGATTACAAATGTTTGCTTGATATATCATTTGCATGAAATATTACCTAAGAATTGTCCCCTAACTGAAAAGATGTGGGAATGGTTGAAGCATGCTGGATTATGGGAACTAACTGGGCTAACCATTCTACATTTACCTTTTAACAGTAGCTGACGAGACTAAACTCAATACAGTGGATGACCAGAAAGCAGGTAAGAATGGACAGTCAGACTGTTGCCATAGAAACCATGGCCCAAGGAGCTGATGACAATTACAGAGCTGCCAATCATATTTCATGTCAACATAAATATTCCGGGCTTACCTAGATGTTTTCATTGTGGGAAATCAAATTGCACTGCATAGAAAAGAAGAAAATTTCTGTTAGAAGAAATTTATCAGTGATAGACATACTAAATGAACTATGATTTTTGGCCTCACAAATGCTGAAAACAGCCTAGATTTTCTCAATTCTATTTGTGTAGGAGTATTTTGTCACAATTAAGGAAAAGTCAAAATCCCCTGAATATCGTCTCGAATGGAAGCCTCCTATGCCTTTAAGTCATCCATGTGATGTCCTTGTTAACATCTAAAATACGATTCTCAAAAAGATGATTTCTATTTGACAAGAGTACCAATATAAATGGTTTTCACTAAATTATAGTGTTCAGTATGGCTCTTTAATCACTCAGAAAACCTGGGTTCTATAAAGTGCGTATGGCTTCATATCATAACTCTGTGAACTTGTTCTAAATTCCTTGCTTCTAAAATACTGCTAAATCAGGGCAGCGCCTGTGGCTCAAAGGAGTGGGGCACGAGCCCCATATGCCAGAGGTGGCGGGTTCAAACCCAGCCCCAGCCCCCCACTCCAAAAAAAGCAAAAAAGCAAAAAAAAAAAGTACTGCTAAATCATTCCATCAAACAATGGATGATAGTCAACTGAGTTTTTGCCTTATAGCAGATTTTGCTCTTTAGATTATTATATGAAAATAATCAGAGGAAAGTCTTTAAGTATAAAGTGATTGGCTTTGTATAGTTGAGCATTTATGATTTATTATTGTATGTTTGGAATAGTGTTTTAATTATTCCAGATCCACTATGATACAGTTATACCACTTAGCACTAATTAGCTTCAATTCACCTTTTTAACCTGCGGTAGTAATTAGTTTTAGCCTGTTTTAAAAATGTGTATCCCACATACATATGTAAAGATTACTATGGATATGATTGGAGTTATCACAGTCTGTAGAGAATAAGATAGATTATAAAAATTGCATCTCATGAATCATAAGATTAACAGTATGCAAGGCAATTAACTATAGCCCGGTCCTCACTGAGTAATTATTGTTCTTATCAAACTTAAAACTTATTGAAATTCTGAAGCAGGGGCTAAAGAAAAACATTACTTGATAGTTCACACATGTAAAGCAATAATTAGTTTTGGGAGTTAATGGTGTTTAGTTCTCTTACAGAACTAACCCATCCAGGTTAATATTCGTAAGAACCCAATTGAACTGCTCAGGTTTGAGGATAAGACTTTATGTACTATGCCAATTAGGTAACATAAGAAAAATATTTAATTTAACCAGCTTAGAACTACTACAAGGAAAAGGGCAATTTATTGTGATTTTAAAAATTATAATAATATCCACATTTTAATTCAAGGCAGCCCATAGCTTTCATGGTTAAAGAAGGCAAATTCTATAATCAGACCTGGTGTTTTTGTGTTTTAAAATGTTAGATTCTGGAGGGAAAGAACTTTTTTTTTTTTTTTGCACTATGTGCAACGTATCCTACCAAATTCAAGGAGAACATCTTGGAATAAGAAAATGATTACAGAGATACCAAAGTACTTGTTGGTCTGTTGGTTTTAAATCTCTATGAATAAAACTCTATACTAGATTCTCCCTGCCCACCACCCCACATGTTAGACAGTGAACAGATTTTCAGTTATTTTTCTTGCTCCAACTTTATTTGAGTGTTCAAGATTACGCTGATTTTACAGTTTAGTCTCAAGGTTTTTGGGGAGAATCATAGTGGCATTTTAGCATTGAGCATGGGTCTAGCTATAAGCCTTTCATAATGAGAATTGAATTCCTTTTCCCTTGAAGAAGACATTGTCTGCTTCCCCCCCTTTTTGGCAAGAAGAGTATGGTAACTACGTAAGAGTAGGACAAATATCTAGGGAAAATAGGATCATGACGATTCCCCCCTTTCCCCCCCCAGATTTAGGAAACTTGTATCACAGTTTGGGGTAAACATACTTTTTGAAAGAACAGGTAAGAACAGGAATAGAAGAGAAGGAGGTTTCAAATGGTTTCATTGTTGAAATAAAAGGTCACAAGCAAAGTATACTAGTGATCCGAAAGATTTCTATAACCTAAGAGCTTTGAAATCTGGCTTTAAAATTCAGATCAATGATAATGGTTTTTTATACACATAAAACTAAATCTTTTGCCTATTCTTTATATAAATTTGTTTTCGATTTTAATGAAAACCATTAAACCAAAAGTACCGGCTTTATAATGCTACAGATCTCAGTAACTTCACTGGGAGATCTTAATGTATCAATTAAAACCCTTGTTAAAGTTTCTTTGTCAAATATCGTTCTTAAATATGTGGTATCGGTCTAACAGATTAAGAGTCAGCAAGCTCTTTCTGTAAAGGACCACATAATAAATATTCAAGGTTTTGCAGACTATGCACTTGATGAGTGTCAACTGTTTAATTCTGTTCCATAGAATGCAAACAGCCTTCGACAGGGGGTATGATGTCTGTGTTTCAGTAAAATCTTCCAGGTTTGGCTTATAGTTGATATCAGTTCATTTGTTTTAGATACGGGCTTTGTGTATGACATTTTATTATCAAAATTTTAACCATACAGAAATATAGAGAAAGTAGTTCATTGCCCTCCCATGGACCTGATACCCAACGTCAATAATTATTACCGTTTTGCTCAAATGTTATTTCATGGCGTTATGAGTTTAGGGAAAAGACAAGATAGGTAAGCTCTGAATTACAGTTACAATATACATCTTTTTTTTTTTTTACAATAATATTTTATTCTCTTACCTAAACTGGAGTACAGTGGCACTGTCCTAATTCACTGTAATCTCAAAATCCTGGACTCAAGCAATCCTCTTCCCTTGGCTTCCTGAGTAGTTAGAATTACAAGGATTCACCCCTTGCACCCATTTATTTTTTGTAGAAACAAGAGTTGTACTGTGTTGCTCAGGCTGGTCTCAAAGTCCTGGCCTTAAGCGATCTTCCTGCCTCAAGCGATTTTTATTGCTTATTAAACTGTATTTTCACCACTGTTTTTCTTTCTAAATTTGCCTGTGTTTATGGTGAGGCACTCCCACTTTCAGTAAATTCTCATGCCATTTCTGAAATTCATTATTCAAAAGTTTTCATTGCCTTGAATACAGAAAGCAAAATCCCAGCTCACTTTGCTTAAGTAAAAGCTTAACATGTATACCAGGGGTGCCAAAAAAAAAAAAAAATTACACACATTTGAAAAGATCTTGTTGGAAGTAAAATGGATTATTCCCTGAAAGTGTAGAAATTGCAGGTAAATTGGATGTGTGTCGCGTGTCTGGGTACACTTGACCAGTAATGTTACTGTCAATTCAACTTTGAAAATAATGCATTGATAACATAGCTTAAAATATGCATCCTTTTTTTGGCACTGTCTGGATAAATGGGGTTTTTGTGATAGCCATTGCTGGAAGCATGAAATCTTTACTAAAGATACATGTACAGATAAACATATAGATACACATATATACAGACATATCCTTGATGAACCCAGGAAAACACCAAACGTTTGTCTAATACGTGTTTATGGAACCCAAGTACAACTGGTAAATTATGAAAATTGATAGGAACAATCTATTTAGGACAAGATCTTTCCTTTTTCTTATAATTCCAGGAAGTATAAAGGTAAATAGCCCTGTCCAAGAACGGTCCTTTCCCATTCCTTTTGATTTCTTACTTTTGGTTTAGCTTTTTGGTAGCGAAATTCATTTTCCTCCCTGTGACAATGACTTTTATGAGTCATTTAGAAAATGGGCTTGTCAAAAATTATAGGGCTACCAAGAGCAACAGTAAGATTGATCTCTGTGAATGAAATATTTCAGGGGCACTTTTGCCATAAAATAAATAATAGAAACGTATACAGACCTGCACTGAGAAAGCAGAATAGATCATCCTTCTCTCCCAAGCCCGCCAATTTGCGGAATATTATTTCTTCATTAGAACCCTGTGCCTGCCTTTCTGCTTATCCTATGCTTCAACATATCTAGTCTTACTTGAAACTGTTGCTCCGTGGTGACTATTTGGATTAAAAATGTCACATAAATGAATATTAAAAAGACAGTTCTTGGGTCGAGTCTCTCAAAGTAATTTTCCTTCTGTTTTAAACTCTGAACTATGGAAGGCCTATGTCAACAACTGTTTGTCTTATAGGTAATAACATGACAAGGCTACTTGTTAATTATTGATCAATGTATGGGCTGATGACTCCTCGTAGAGATAAACTATGTAGAATCCCCCACTTCCTTATTTTTTTTCAGCTGTCTTGTTAACAGCATAAATGAAGAACCAGCTCTATAACCTGGACTGCCCAGGTGGTGGTCCAGCGATGGTATTTCAGCCACTCAGAGGCTAAATTGGAGGGCCAGGCCAGGCAGTGATGAATCAGTGAATCAGTTTTGACTGCTTTCTACTATTGGTATTTTCTCAGGCCTTGCTGCCCCAGATCCTCAGGACATAGAGCCAAATTGGTAATTCTTGGAGTTCTCCCTGCCGTCTTCCTGAAATTCCCTTGGTGACTGTGAGGTCGCCATTTTTTTTCCAGCCCTTGTTTTCCAAACAGGTGTCATTCCCACGCCCGCCCGTAGGAGGCAGGACTCTATCTAGTTCTTTAGTCTGTCCTGCACCTCCCTCTGAGGGAGAGGCGTTATGTAATGTGCTTCCATTCAAATCTTGTATTGCTCTTGACACAGAACGTCTGTATTTCCCAGGATTAGGTTTCTACCAGGTGCCAGATTGCCCTGATTGTATTGGTGACATCGAGCCCCCTGTGCTCTTTTTCCTTAGAAAGGGTTTGGAATCTGCAGTGTAATAAGGAAGGGATTTGATGGAGTTCATTGATGTGAACGCCTAGCTTCTGTTGTAAATGATTTTAAAATTGCCGAAAAATGGTTTCAATTAAGTTAAAAGGCTTACTCTGGGTTGCTTCCCCTCGCCGCCCCATCATCTCTGCTTTTCAAATGAGCTGCTGGGTTATTCTGGTTCTTTTAGATTATTTCCATTACTTGGAGCAAAATGACTTGACAACCATTTCATCTGTTGAGATAAAAATAAAAATTAATAACTTAGAGTGTTTCCTAATGAAAAGAGAGAAAAATCTAATATAAATTTGGGGGAAAATAGCAATTAGCAACTATTGCTTTGTTGATTCTTTATATCTTCTCCAAGCACATTCAAGAACTCTTGTCACTGAGCAGATAAGTTTTGTGTGTGTCCCTAAAGTTTTCCACTACGCGTAGATACTCAGCTGTGTAGTTTTTTTACTAATTCACGCTACCATTTTGTTTTTGTAAACCGCCAAGGTTCCCCCAGTAGAGATGTGGGACCTTCCCTGGGTCTGAAGAAGTCAAGTTCATTGGAAAGTCTGCAGACAGCAGTCGCTGAGGTGACCCTGAATGGGGACATCCCTTTCCATCGCCCACGGCCGCGGATCATCAGAGGAAGGGGTTGCAATGAGAGCTTCAGAGCTGCCATTGACAAGTCTTACGATAAGCCTGCGGTGGACGATGATGACGAGGGCATGGAGACCTGTAAGTTGATGGTGGCTGGAAGGTCAGCAATCACAAAAAACATCGTAGAACAGTGGTTCTTAAATTGTGCTCCAGGGAGCCCTTGGAGGGAGGGGTGTTCTCAAGACACTTCTGGAGGATCTGTGAGGCTGAAACTATTTAATAATAGTTTAATAATAATAATAAGATATTATTATGAAAACAGTTTTATTCTCTCACAGGTATATAGTGGGGTTTTATAGAGGCTCCATATTATATTATCTTATTACATTAGATTGAGTGCACTAGCAGATAGGAGAATCTGTGTTTTCAGCTAATAGTAAAGCAAAAATTTTGGGAAAAAAAACAAAAACGTGAAGTAGTACCATTGTCCTTGCTGATTGCTTTGGGAAAATACAGTTTGTTTTTGTAGAACTGTAATTTCTGTAAACCAAAATTATTTTTTTAATAACGTTATTAGTATTTTCAGACTTTCTCAGTTTTAGTTCAGTATATATTGACATGATTTGTATTCTGGAAAGCTGTTGGGAGTTGTTAATAATTTTTATAGGTTATAAAGCTATTCTGAGATCAAAATGTTTAAATACCACTGCTCTATAGTATTCATAATAGGGTGTCTCCAGTGAACGTATGTAATAATCTAGGATGTTAAAAACACATTTTTGTGGGCGGTGCCTGTGACTCAAGGAGTAGGGCACCAGCCCCATATACTGGCGGTGGCAGATTGAAGCCCAGCCCTGGCCCAAACTGCCAAAACAAACAATAACAAAAAAACCCCAAATAAACACATTTTTGTTTTACTCTCAGGAATTACTCTTGCTTTCCTTGAACTGAACTAGCAAGTAATGTTTGTGCATGTATGTGTTTCAAAATCGCAAAATATTTTAAATCAGTACTATTGCAAGCCAGAGGACTATTGCAAGCCAGAGGTTAATGTGAATGAGCGATACGTTTCTGTGTTATATTGAGGGGAAAAAGTAACATTTAAAAGTAGGCACAAATGTGTGCTTTCAGTGAGTAACACATTTATTGTATAAGAAGAAACATTCCATTTAAAAACAATGGAAAAGGCGGATGGACGCGGTGGCTCATGCCTGTAATCCTAGCACTCTGGGAGGCCGAGGCAGGTGGATTGCTTAAGCTCATGAGTTTGGGGACCAGCAAGACCCGATCTGTACTAAAATAGAAAAACTGAGGCAAGAGGATCGCTTGAGCCCAGGAGTTGGAGGTTACTGTGAGCTATGATGCCATGGCAAGTCTACCTAGGGCGATAGCTTGAGGCTGTGTCTCCAAAATAAATAAATAGAAATAGAAACAATGGAATACTCTATTAATGTTCTTAGAAGAGAAAGGGTTTGGGAGTCCTTATAGTAAAATGTGTTGATTAGCTCCTGTTTTTCATATCTACTGATTCACAGTTTAGTTTCTAACCTCAAATGTGACTCTGCCCATCTAACCGTCATAAGAAAAGTTGGAGGGTGAAGTCAAAACGGAAACCAGAGATAATTGATGTGGATTGTCAATTCCTTGCAGTTGAACATTTTGGGTGGGCCACTTCCATCACATATACTTAAAGAAGGGGGAAAGAAGAGTTTTCACTACAACAGATCGCATTCTGAGGAGATCAAAGCAAATACGTAATTTCTGCCTCTAATGCATAATGGGCTTGGGAAGACGACTATTTCTGCCACAGTGCAGTACGTGAAGCAAAGCTTAGGGAGAGGGTTGCCACACCTCTCCCCACCTCCACCTGATTCTCCATCTAAATCTGGACAGTTTTCCCACTGTGATCAGCCAGTGATTTCAAATATATGCAGCCTCTTCTTGCCAGATGAAGAACATATTTCCTGTCTCTGCTGCCAACCTTGGTCTCCAAGATCCTGAGTCATATGAGCCTTCATCCCTACTGAGTCTTCTCCCACAGTATAATGGTTCCTTGCCATCCAATCAGTTGTACTGGACACTTAGACCCCTTACTTCGGTCTATCCTGGGTGTATATTAATAAAAAGCGATATAATACTTTGGCCCCTCAATATATGTATATATTTTTTTCCGCCTCTGCATTTTATTATGCTTGTGAGTTTTTTTCTGATTCTGGTTAAAATGTTAAGTTCCTTTCTAGAATGCAGTTTCCTCTCATAACATGTCACTGGTTTCATTTGCAACAGGAGGTGGAATACGTATGTACACAAGGTATTTTTTTTTTAAATTCTGTAGAGACAAGCTCCAGAGTGAGTGTCCTACCAATATGGACATCTGATTTTGTTTCTCTATGAAGTTAAGAGGGTGTCTTAGTGAGAAATAACAGATTTTTTTAAATCGGAAATAACAGTATATTAAAATTTGTAGGTCACACGTGGCGGCTCACACCTCTCATCTCAGCCCTTTGGGAGGCCTAGGTCAGAGGATTGCTAGAAACCAGGAGTTCAAGACCATCTTGGGCAACATAGCAAGACCTCATCTACCAAAAAAAAAAATTAGCTGGGCAGTGGTACATACTGGTAGTCCCAGCTACTCAGGAGGCTGAGGCAGGAGGATCTCTTGAGCTTAGGAGTTTGAAGTTGCAGTGAGCTATGATGATGCCTTTACACTCCAGCCTGGTGACAGAGTGAGGCACTACCTCAAAAAAAAGAAAGCAGGGAGGGAAGGAGAGAGAAAGAAGACAGAGAGGGAAGAAAAAAAAGGAAAGAAAAAGAAAGAAGCTTATTCATTCAGCTCTCTTCAATAGAAAAAGCAAGTAAGGGTGGTGCCTGTGGCTCAAAGGAGTAGGGCAGCAGCCCCATATACAGGAGGTGGTGAGTTCAACCCCGGCCCTAGCCAAAAAAATAAAAACCTGCAAAAAAAAAAAAAAAAAACAGCAAGTGAATAAACAAATTACAATCTGTGATCCAAAGGAAAAGTTGTAGGCGAGAGCTGGGAAATACCACCGGCCCTGCAAAGCATTATGCCTACCACTGTAAAATGTCTTAGTTTTCAAAGGTTCTGCCTTTATTATTTTTTTTTGCAGACCAGTCTGCTGAACTTTACATATGCCCAAAGAAAGGCAACTATTGTAAATTTCATTTTTTTCCTCCCAATTTGGATTATTGAAATGGTACATTTAATAGGGTGGGATGAGCGCAGAAGTGGAATTCAGGCGACTCGTATCTCAGTCCACAATTTGGAATTTTGGTCGAGTCACTTAATCCGCTTGAGATTTGATTTCCTCACTTGCAAAACTGAATATCTGGACAACTATAGATAGAGCGTTGATTTTTCAAATTGTATATTGGGACTTCTGGTCAGGAGAAGGTCCCTCAGTGGGATTGGGGAGTGGGGAGGGCTACCAGCCTGCACCCCTCACCCTCCTCAACAGTTGTTTTTTAAATCACTTTTATACAGTGAAATTCTTTGTAAAATGTGGTATTTGGAAAGTTGGTTTGCAGTTTTTAGGAAAAAGTTGTAGCAGTTCAGGTTTACACGGATGTTTTCTGAGGCCCTTCTGGTTTTTGTTTTGTTCAGATTAAGATGGTGGTACAGATGGTTAGGTCACACTGTTTGCATTTGTTAGGTAGAGTTTAAGTTGTAGTTGTGCCCTTTACCCAGGAGGGGCGCCATATACCCCTACATGGTGCCTGTTACCTGAGCGCTCACCACCCCACCCTATCTGCCCCCTCCCCTCCCCCCTCCCACTTGAGTTTGTGTTTTTCTCTGATGTGGGTGTATATTAGATCGTCCACTGGTTTCAGGTTGGTATTGGGTACACTGGATACTTGCTTTTCCATTCTTGTGATACTTAAGTGGAATGTTTTCCAACTCCATCCCGGTTAATAACAAAAGATGTCCAATCTCTATCTTTTTTAAAGCCAAATAGTATTCCATGATATCTATACCCCCGTTTATTAATCAATTCTTATGGACATGGGCGTTTGAGTTGATTTCGCATCTTGGTGATTGTGAATTGAGCTGCGATAAACATGCTGGTGCAAATGACCTTGCAATAAAATGTTTTTTTTTTTTTTTTTTCCCTTCAGGGTAGATACCTAGTAATGGGATTATGGGATCAAATGGAAGGTCTGCTTTTAGTTCTTTGAGGATTCTCCATGCTTCCTTCCAGAAAGGTTGTATTAGTTTGCAGTCCCACCAGCAGTGTAAAAGTGTTCCCTTCTCTCCCACACCCTCGCCGGCATCTGCAGCTTTGGGACTTTGTGATGCCGGCTCCTCTTACTGGGGTTAGGTGATACATCTCAGGGTGGTTTTGATTGGCAGTTATGTGATAATTAGGGATGATGACAGTTTTCCCATGGGTTTGTAGGTTCTGTTTCTATCTCTTGCCCAGCGATAAATGGGATTGTTTGTTGTTGTTGATTAATTTGAGTTCTCTGTAGATTCTGTTTATCTTTGTCAAATCTGTGCCGTGCCAATATCTTTCCCCCTTCTGAACCCTGCCTGTCTGCTTCATTCATCCTTTGCTGTTTAACATTCCGTGATTTTCCGTAACCATCCACTCACCCGCCTACAGCCAGCCTGCAAACCCCCGGCCTTCCATGATACACAGGAAGGAGGACACCACCACACCTGGTTTTCTCCCCATCAGGTCGTGCATGGAGCTGGGCACATCGCAAGATCCAGTGACTGCTGAATCCCTGAGCAGACGAGTGAGCGTGGTGCTGGGGGAGAGGCATCCGCTATGCCGTGGCCCCCATGGCAGCAACATTTGCTGGATCTCACACTGGACTTTGAAGGCAGTACCTTCAGTGTCTCAGCAAACTCTTTGGTTTTCTTAAAAAAAAAAAAAAAAAAAAGAAAAGAAAAGCCCGTCAAAGGCGGCATTACTGCTGATAGTCATTAGAATATCACTATTGTAATACCAGAGACACAAAGGAATTTTTTTGTGTGTGCTGACACAGTATCTTTTTAATTAAAAATGAGACAATCTTTTCTACCTTTTGAGGTTTCCTTTCAAGCTGCATGCCTATATTATCCATTTAAATTATATATATATATATATATATATATTTTTTTTTTTTTTTTTAAAGAC